AACCAAGGTACATGCCCACGACCGGAATTGAACCTGGGATCCTTTCGTCCGCAGGCTGACGCTCTATCCACTGAGCCAAACTGGCTAGGGCAGACAATTTTTAAATGTTTCACTCCAACTGCCTCCTGAGAAAAACTTCATCAAATCTCTAGCCCAACTTTTTCCTATTTCCTTTCAAAAAATCTTTGAACTTGTTAAAACCAGCAACAGATTATAAACAAGTTGAAGCCATTTCTGTACCATGTCTAGAAAATGTGGCCCTGGTTCTCCTTTATTGATTTACAGAGAAGAAGGGAAAGGGATAGAGAGTTAGAAACATTGATCAGCTGCCTCCTGCACGCCCTCCACTGGGGATGTGCCTGCAACCAAGGTACATACATGCCCTTGACTGGAATTGAACCTGGGACCTTTCAATGCACAGGCCGATGCTCTATCCACTGAGCCAAACCGGTTAGGGCTAGGACAACTTTCAATGCAAACTTTCTCAACAATGGCACTACTGACATTTTGGGTCTGATCATTCTTTGTTGTAGGGGGCTGTCCTGTGCATTATTGGTTGTTAAATAGTATCCCAGGCTATTACACACTAGACACAGGGTGCATTCTTCCTTCCCAGTCGTGGCAACCAAAAATGTCTCCAGTTATGGTCAAATGTCCAATGAGGGGGACAAAATTGCCTCCATTTAAGACCACTGTTTTAAGTAAGGTAAATGAAGTCAGATTCACTTTGGGCCTTTTTCTAGACTCTCCCTTCCTTTAAAAAAAAAAAAAGAATACCTTGCCTTTTAAGGTGATTCCAAACTGACCTTTAAGGTTTTTTTTAAGAATTTTTAAAAAATGTTTTTATTGATTTCAGAGAGAGGAAGGGAGAGGGAGAGAAACATGGATTGACCTCCTCCTGCACGCCCCCTACTGGGGATCCAGCCACAAACTGGGACCTGTACCCTGACCAGAAATTGAACTGGTGACCTCTCGGTGCATGGAACTATGCTCAACCAACGAAGCCACACTGGATCGTGCATAAACTCTTCCTTATTTCTTGTCAGTTTATTTCAACACTAATCTCAGCTACAGACTTGCATCTGTATTTCGTGGTTCTCTTAACAACCCCACCCACCTTCCCCTTGTTTTCTAGCTGGAGTAAAGCCCTTTCTCCCTGGAGATCCTTAGCTTTGTAGTAGACTGAGCACCAAGCAGTCCTCCAGGTTCTCTTCTTTGTGGGTTTCCTGGCCTCCCTCTCTCAGACACTACAGTGTGGCGGAGGAGGAATAAGGAGTCAGAATTCTCCTTGTGGCCCTCCCCCTAGAAATCCAGGAGAACTTGGAGAACTCCACAGTGGCTGATAAAATCTTGAAAGTCTGATGATTTGGTCTGACAGGGGAACAGAGACGGGGTCTTTCTTTTCAGTTCTCACTTCCTCTCTTCTCACCAGTAGCTATTTTCCCTCTAGGTCTCTTTTGTGATTTCATCTTTTACTTACAATCCTTGGATAACACCCAGAGTGGTGACTGTCCTTATATTCCTCAGCACATTAACACTATAAGATGCTTCTCAGGAAAGTTCCTTATAGTCAAATCAGTGAGGGCAACACTACCTACTAGATTCCTCCCTTGGACACTGGCAATGACCATTAATTTATCGAAGCCTTTGAGATGCTCTTCAGAGCAGATATGACACATCCCATTTGTCTAGTTCAAAGCAGAATATCCCTTTCCCCTCTGAACCCAGTTCGTTCCCTCCTTCCCAGGCACACCCATTATGTTTACTCAGTGTTTTAAATCTAGCATTTCCTGCCCTGGCCAGGTTCTCAATGGTTAGAGCATTGGCCAGTGGACCAAAGGACCTCAGGTTCCATTCCTGGTCAAAGGCATGCACCTGGGTTGCAGGTTTAATCACCAGCCCAATCAGGCCCAGTCGGGGCTCGTGGAGGAGGCAACCAATCAATGTATGTCTCTCTCCCTCTCTCTCTCTCCCTTCCTCTCTCTCTCTCTCTCTCTCTCTCTCTCTCTCTCTCTCTCTCTCTCTCTCTCTCCTTCTCTCTCTCTCCTGTCTCAGCTGCCAGTATGTCCCTTCCACGCTCTTTAAAAATCAATGGGAAAAATCTCCTCAGGTCAGGATTAACAACAACACCACCAAAAAATCTAGCATTTCCTAGATTAAGTGACTACAGAATCTTCTGACCCCTCCCGACATCATTTAACAAATATCTATTAACACCCAGAAGTGGTATCCCAACTAACACAGTTTGGGCACTGTGGGGTGAGCTTTGTTACAGCGAGATTGCAGGCAGGCTGGGCATGGGGCAGGGGCCTTGGTGAGGACCCAGGGAAAGAATCTTTCTACACTCTCGGCTTGTCATGTGTGGAGGGTGACCAACCCAGGTCGGGAGGAACTGAGGGGAAGGAAACCACAGCATCAGCAACCACGATGAATGGCAGCAGAACATGCCACTCCAAAATGTACTGCTTTGGTCCCCCCTTTTCTGTGGTTTTGCCTTCCACAGTTTCAGTTACAGTCAACCGTTGTCTGAAAATATGAAATGGAGAATTCCAGAAATAAACAATTCATAAATTTTAAATTGTGTGCCATTCGGAATAGCATGATGAAATCTCACTCTGCCCTGCCAGGATGTGACTCACCCCTTTGTCCAGGAAATCCACACTGTATATGCTCCTTGTCCATTAGTCACTTTGTAGCCATCTCCGTTATCAGGTCAACTGTCAAGGTATCCTGGTGTTTGTGTTCAATAATCTTTATTTTACTTAAGAATGGCCCTAAAGCACAAGAGTAGCGATGCTGGCAGTTGGTGCAGACCTGGGGGGTGGGTAGGGGATGAGCGGAGGGGAGTAAAAGGGCAGGGGAATGGGAGACATCTGTAATACTGTCAACAATAAAAAGTCTATAATAGCCCTGACCGGTTTGGCTCAGTGGATAGAGCGTCAGCCTGCGGACTGAGGGGTCCCAGGTTCGATTCCGGTCAAGGGCATGTACCTTGGTTGCGGGCACATCCCTAGTGGGGAGTGTGCAGGAGGCAGATGATTGATGTTTCTCTCTCATCGATGTTTCTAGCTCTCTATCCCTCTCCCTTCCTCTCTGTAAAAAAATCAATAAAATGTATTTAAAAAAAAAAAAAGTCTATAATAAAAGTGTAATATGCTAACTACATCCTTCCAGAAGACCTTCTGGACAAAGCCGGGGCTGCAAAAGCCAAGCCCCTTGCACGAATTTTGTGTATCGGGCTTCTAGCTATATATAATAAAAAAGTGCTTCCTTTAAGTGAAAATGTAAGTACAGTACAACAAGATATTTTGAAAGACCACATTCACATAACTTTTATTACAGTATACTAGTATTGTTATAATTGTTCTGCTTCATTAGTTTTTGTTGTTATGTGCCTAATTTATAAATTAAACTTTATCATAGCATGTATGTTATAGGAAAATGCATAGTACATGTAGGGTTTGGTACTATCCATGGTTTCAGGCATCCACTGGGGGTCTTGCAACATGCCTCCACAGATAAGGGGGGACTATACTGTATTGACTATTTCGAGCCAAAGGCACTTGAAAAACAGCAGATGCTTGGAAAGGCTTTCCCTGAACTGTCCTTTGTCTATAGACAGATCCTCCAAAAGGAACTCATTTGTCAATGATCCTCCCCCCAAAGGTATCGTCAACCAGGGAAGATGAACTCTTACCACAGGCGAGAAGAGTAGAAGTCAGCATCACACATGGAAGATAAACTGTCACAAACCATCATACTGCCAATCTCTTCTTCTGTCTTTCCCAAAAATAATATCCTCTCCCCTAAGAGGCCTACACCGCCCTCCTCTTTCCTTATTACAATGGTATTTAACCCTGAATTCTAAACCACCTCAGGGAGTTACTCATTTCCCCCTGGGTATCTCCCATGTATACACAAGGTATACATGTTAAGAAACTTCTGCTTGTTTTTCTCTAGTTAATCTGTCTTTTATTATAGGGATCTCAGCTAAGAACTCAAAAGGGTAGAGATACAAGTATTTTTCCTTCCCTACAACAGCAAAACAAAACAAAATGTGGAAATAAAAACACTGCCTTTCAGCTTACATGTTTGCCCCTGACCCCAGGGGAGCATATGTGTGATGCATCCCCAGTAGGGGGTGCCTGTCACCAGTGGTGGAGTCCCATATTTATTCAAGGACTGGGATGGTTCTGACTCAACTGTTTCCCAGCATCCTATTCCACATGGCCACCTAACCCTGGCTGAGAGACCAAGAACTCCCCATATCTCCATATTGGTGCTCAGGACAATCAATGGGAATCACTGTAGCAACCCCACTCCTACAGGACGCCCTCTTCAGAAGGGGTCTTGCCTTACCTCCTCCTACTCTATTCTGAAGGAGGAGTAACTCAGAGTTGTTTGTTGAGGTTCCGACACTAACAAGGACAAGGCATATCCTGAGGTGGATGCCTTGGTTGGGTTTTGCTAGGGTCAGTCTGGTCTGTTCCTTCCTGATAACATGGTCAGAACATGATGTGTGTGTTCTCTTAAAAACAATAAATACAATTCTGGCTACAAAAATAACTCATGTTCATTGTAGAAAATTGGAAAAAATATGTGTATGAAAAAATAAATATTACCCCTAACCGCACCACCTAAAGACGATCTCTTTGTACTTGTTGGTGAATTCCTCACAAGTTTTCTTTTCCTTTATGCATATATGTATATGTATTTAAATTAATTGAGATCAAAATAAGGATAAGTTTCATGCCTTACTTTCTTACTTGGCAGTTGAGGAATAGAGTGAGGAAATAAAAGGGAGTCACTATTATCAAGCTGCTAAATTACTAAAAATCAAGTAGGATGAGGCATGAGGAAATAACCCTATTCTTGCTGTAACTAGCCTAGGAACTAAAACTACAGAACTTCCCAGTCCTGTGCCAATTTCTGGATATATATTAAAACTCCAGGGTGGGGCCGAAACCGGTTTGGCTCAGTGGATAGAGCGTCGGCCTGCGGACTGAAAGGTCCCAGGTTCGATTCCGGTCAAGGGCATGTACCTGGGTTGCAGGCACTTCCCCAGTGGGGGATGTGCAGGAGGCAGCTGATCAATGTTTCTCTCTCATTGATATTTCTAACTCTCTCCCTTCCTTTCTGTAAAAAATCAATAAAATATATTTTTAAAAAAACAAAAAAACTCCGGGGTGGGAATGGCTGGGGGTGGAGGGGTCAATCCAAAAAGGAGACATATGTAAAACTTTAGACAATAAAACAAACAAAAAAACCTTCAGATAACCCTCTGATAACCCCCGAAGAACTAAAAAAAGAAAGTTCATGTATCCAGACAGCCTGCCATTCATTATCCAGACCATCTGTTATCTAGAGCAGCAGTCGCCAACCTTTCGGACCTCACGGACCACCAGTGGTCTGTGAACCACGGACTGGCGACCGCTGATCTAGAGGATTTCCATCTTGATCTAATCCCAGGGCTAAGGATGCAGGACTGATTCTTCTCAAGAATGTACCTTCTACGCCAAAACCGGTTTGGCTCGGTGGATAGAGCGTCAGCCTGCGGACTGAAGGGTCCCAGGTTCGATTCCGGTCAGGGGCATGTACCTGGGTTGCGGGCACATCCCCAGTGGATGTGCAGGAGGCAGCTGATCGATGTTTCTCTCTCATCGATGTTTCTGACTCTCTATCTCTCTCCCTTCCTCT